TCCTGCTGCACAAACTGAGTCCACCCAAAGCCCCAGGCAGGCTGGGCAGTCAGAGAACTTACCTCTGCTGTCGCCAAGGACCGACCCTCCTGCCAGCTCAGGCTTCTCCCTACAGGCCCTAACGCTGACAGTGCTGTCGCCCTGCCTGGGTGGCTGGTCAGGGCTGGCTCAGACATGGTCTGGCGAGGAGCAACACTATAGAAACTCGTTTCAGACAGGGCCCTGCTGCAGTCATCTCGAGAAGCTATTAATGAGCTCCCAGAACGGCAGGAGCCTGGAGTGGTGCAGAGCCCCACAAATGCTCATCTTACCCAGCAGCTTCTCCCTGCCTGGCAACGAAGCCACCTGCCATGTTTCTGCATGTCCCTCGCCTGGTGGATCAGTAAGGGGTGAAACCCACTCATGGGACGGTAGTCCCAAACAGGAAGACACTACTACAGCTGTTTCCACATGGGTAAGTCCTGCAGATCCCTGGCAGTTCTGTCTCATAATTTCAGCTTAACCAAGGAGACAATAGTACCATCTATGTGGAAGTCAAGATAGTCTTTGGAAAAGTAAGAAAATAAAACACTGAAGGCCAATAACATACCCCTACAGATACTCACATGAACAGACGGAGTTTTTAAGTATCACACGTTAACCATTATTTTTTTCCTGGCTTGAATCTTGGGCATTTGGGATTTTTTTCACCTTCTTTCTGATCCTAGGCCCCCCTAACCTTATACTATTCCAGAAATTTGCTTTGTTAAATCAAATAAACAAACCAGCCTATATTTCATTACACTTAGCTAGAAATTCAGAGATTAACCTATTTATGAAGCACGCGATGTCATAACTGCAGAGTTTCATTTCATTCATGGTACGCTGCTGCGAATAGCAAGCCACAATATCCTCAACTAATGAAGCTTGTCAACGTTTCCAGGAAACAGACTGACTTTAGCTTTTATTGCATTCTGAGCGGGTCAAGGGTTACAGAGCCTGGCATCACAGGTCGCTCTCGCCATAGAGCGCAGAGGAGAAAGCGGTGTAATCCAAGGCACCCGGCACGCTGCCTGGGCCCGAGTAGGCAGGCATCCTCTTGATGCAGTACTGGGCCTGATCTGGGGGCAGCTCCCGACGCAGCTCCTCCGCCAGGATGTACGGCTGGAAAAAATAAAACACAAGTGTTTGCGACGCCACGTGCAAAAACGTGGGAACACATGCAGTTTTAACCCTTACGTGCTCTTTGCATTTGCTTAGTTTCTAAAAAGTACTACAGGTGGCGAGTCTCCTGGAGTGCAAGCTGACGGCCAGCAGAGCAGGGCTGACCTGCGGGAGCTCACCTATGGGGACCTGCCTCTGGCAGCGTGCTTCGTGAAGGCCAGTGAGCACTGATGATGCGAGTGCCGACTATGTGAGCTAAACGTCTCAGAGATACGGGACAGCTGCTTATACCCAAGGGGTCTCTAAAGGCAGAGCAATTATTCAGAAACAAAAATGTACGTGTCTTGCACCTCTAGAAAAGAGTCATCTTCGGGAACCAGCAGTTAGCATAATGGCTATGTGGCTGGACTTCCAAGTAGTCAACCGCGGTTCGCGTCCTAGACCTGGTGGCTTAAACTCATGCCGGGCGTTTGTGCGTGCGTGCCGAAGATCCGAGAGGAGAATAGAGAAGGGACTGCAGAGTCACCATCCCCCCTGGGGGGTGATTTCTTGCTTTCTGTCTCTATGTCTCTCTCTGTCTGGAGAGCACACGTGCCCTATAGCGAAAACCTCTCCAAAAAAAAAAAAGTCATCTTCCTGCTCAGCTTAATAAAATCAGGCATTGCCCTTGGAGAACACTCAAACAAAATTGGCATTTACAATGGGCCTTTTTTAGTTAATGTCAAAAGTCCTATGGGGGACCAGTAGTTGGCATAATGGCTATGTTGCTGGACTCTCACATAGTTGACCGCAGTTCGAGTCCTGGACCAGGTGGCTTAAACTCACGCCAGGCGTGTGTGCGTGTGTGCCCAAGATCCTGAGAGGAGGATAGAGGAAAAAGGATTGCGGCGTGGCCATCCCCCTGGGGGGTGATTTCTCGCTTTCTGTCTCTGTTTCTTTCTGGCAAGCACACACCCCCTATAGCAAAAACCTCTCTTATTCAAAAAAAAAATGTTTAAGTCCAATGGGTAGTAGGACAATTCTGATAGAAGAGACTTGCTGGTAAGAGTCAGTAAGGAGATCGCAAATATTGCATTGAAACCTGATCAGGCAGGTTTTCGGGCCGGAGGAGCCACGGTGCGTACCTGCTAAGCCAGCTAGGCTGCCCTTCCTACTTCCTCCCCACAGTAAGATTCATGTGTCAACAAAATACTTCGTGTCCGGTTTGTTAGAACCAGAACTCCGCTGATGTGTCTTAGCGTCCAGTCACGCGCTCAGGGTGTGATGGAAAACGGTGCCATCCCCGACCGCGTTTACACACACCACGGTGCTCAAATTCACGTTTGGAGTGAATTTGAAATTACCACCTTGCAGTTAAACTACCTAACGTTTGAGACGTGTAATGAGACAGTCACCTACTTCCGGAAAGACTGGATGGCTACATTTAACTCTGCCCCAGTGACTGGGCACAAACCCCAGCTCATTGACCGTGAGAAGACTGCGACTGCCCGGCAGCTGACGGGCGGTTTCCTCTTTCTGAATCACCCAGCAGCTAAGGACGTAGAACTGAACTAGTAACACACGCACACACCACGCAGGCACGGAACTGCGAAGTTCACGCTCATGTTCCTCCTGGAACTCAGTGACGGGCCCAGGCGCTGATGCCAGAGCTGGAGCCCGTGCGTTCTCCCTCTGGGTTCACCCCAGGGAGGTATCAGCACCGCTTCCGGAGGTCAGTGCTGACGTCACACGAAACGCACGCGTACGGAGCGGGCCAGACGTGTGCCGCAGATCCCCACATGCAGCACGGTTACTCACATGCTGAGCAGTTCCCCACGTGCAGCGCGGTTACTCCTGTGCGCCTCAGATCCCCACATGCGCCGCGGTTCCCCACGTGCAGCGCGGTTAGTCACGTGCGCGGCTGATCCCCACGTGCAGCGCGGTTAGTCACGTGCTGAGCAGTTCCCCACGTGCAACGCGGTTAGTCACGTGCAGCGTGGTTACTCATGCTCCACGGATCCCCACGTGCAGCGCGGTTAAGTCACGTGCGCCACAGATCCCCACGTGCAGCGGTTAGTCACGTGCGCCGCGGATCCCCACATGCAGCATGGTTTGTGTGCCGTGGTTCCCCACGTGCAGCAGTTAGTCACGTGCGCCGCGGTTCCCCACGTGCACCGCAGTTAGTCACATGCGCCGCGGTTCCCCACGTGCAGCGCGGTTACTTACGTGCAGCGCGGTTAGTCACGTGCGCCCCGGTTCCCCACTTGCAGCGTGGTACCTCACGTGCGCTGTGGTTCCCCACCTGCATCCCCCACTGCGCCGCGGTTCCCCACGTGCGCCGCTGTTACCCACATGCGGCACGTTCCCCACGTGCAGCGCAGTTCCCCCCTGCGGGCTGGCTGCCTGGACTGAGCAGGAGTGGCCAGCACAGACCTTGTCAGACGCCAGGATGCGGAAGGAGGCGATGACCTGCTCGGCAGTGTCGGTGTCGGCCGTCTCCCTGGTCATGAAGTCAATGAAGGACTGGAAGGTGACTGTGCCTTGGCCGTTGGGGTCAACCAGGGTCATGATGCGGGCAAATTCAGCTTCACCCTGGGCGAGATGGCAAAGGAACGGTGGGCCTCCCCGACACGACTCCACGGTGCCTCCAGTTCTGCCCCCTCTTGCCACGCACGCGGGGGCCTTGGCTCGGTCCCTACACTGCCCTGTGCCTCCCTCCAGCCGGAGGGAAAAGATCCCGGGTGCTCGGGCTCATCCCGTCAGCTTCCAGGGATGCGGCGGCATCAGGCCAGAGGCTCCCGGGCGCCAGAAGCCCTGCCTCTCCGGGCAACGGGCCTTCCCGGGTCGCAGTGAGGAAGGTAACAACGATGAAGGCCAACAGGGAAAGTGAGGCTGCTGAGTCGAGGCCTTCAGAGATGGCTCCCGTGACTCTCCAGGTCTGGGGTCATAGCAACTCGGGGACTGTCGCAGCCAGAGCCACGGACAAAGGTTCTCAGTTTATCGTGAAAGACTTAACATCCAGAATAGCGGAGGAAAACACACTGTAAAAATCATCAGGGTCCTGGGGCCAGCAGGTGGCGTGGGGGTTAAGGGGCTGGATCAGCAGATGGCAGTTCAAGTCCCAGACCTGACAGCTTGAAAAATCACACTGTGTGTGCCCAAAATCCCAGGAAGGGGATGGAGAGGGGACTGTGGCATGGTCATTCCTTTTGGGGGTGGGAGGTGATTTCTCACTTTTCCTCTCTCTGGTAAAGCACACGGGCTCTACGGCAAAAAACTGAAGGAAAAAAATCAGGATTCTAAAACCCAATGACGTGCACGCTTTACGAACTGTGGCATGTGAGCGTACCTCAGTACAGCGATCAGATA